GGTCATGAAGTTCATCTCATCGCATACCTCATGTGTGGCGATAAATTGAGAGATGATTTTCTTTCGCCTTCTGGTTTAATCATTTCAGCAGATTCACTGTGGCACAGAGAGTTGCAAAAGACCCTTTCTTTGTTACGATGATCCTGAGGGACATGTTATGACAGAACAGCAGCAGATTTCATCAATGTAGGAGGCTTACAACTTGAATTCTAATTTAATTCAATTTAATTTTATATGCCGTACAAATATAAACTTCCGATAAGTCATCTCCAGTCCCTATGCAGCGAGGGGGGAAAAAAGCAAAAAATACACTCAATACAGCACAATAGCAAACACCATCAGCATTCAGTCACTGCAGCTGCCAGGCTGTGAAAAGTTCTGAGGAAATGATAATGAGAAATTACCATATACAAGGACGCTTACACTATTTATCTCAACAATGTTTGCCTCAACTTACACCTGTGCGTCCTCGTTCTTGCAGAAGTGCCATTGTACTGTAACTAGCAATTGTGCCTCAGTCACTAACCACCATCTTCATCACTGTCTGTGCATCGTGCTGACAGCTTAATGAGCCAAACTTTGCTACTTGTGAAGAAAACAAGAAAATGTAATCTTTCTCATTAGTTGGCAAGTTAGCAAATGTTTTCAGATGTGGCCTAGTTTCTGATCAAACTAAGCTTTGTTATGTCAAATGTCCTCTTTGATCCAGTTCATCTAACCTATCTTCATCTAACCTACAGCGCTGTGTTGACTATTTATTACCGAGTAAGCTCCTGATCTCTTTCTTGAGTCATTTGGTCAAGAAAGTGACATTAATTGGGGAAAATGTCCTTCATTTGGTAATCTTCACATTTAAGTTGCCATTTATTTAAGAACAAAGGGAGCTGATTATGAAAATATTTTGTCGATTAATTTTCTTTCAATCTCCGTATCAGCTATTGTAACCTGTGAGAGACAGCAATTGACATGTAACCTACCAGTATGATGCGATAATTCGTTGTGTCCTCCTCATGTCTCTCTCAGTCATCAGTCAAGCGAGGATTTACACAGCTCCCTTGATCCATTGCCCTCTACACACCTGCGTGATTGGCATCCTAAATTGTGGAGTGAACTGAGGTGCAATAATAGCAGGAGGCTGTTTGAGACAATTAGTTGACCCCCACAAGCATTACCTTGCTTCTGACCCCATGGCCCTTATTAGCTGAACCATTTCACTGTGTGGCCCACAGTTTAATCCTAATTGATCAATACCTTTAAGGCCTCTTAATATCCGAAGAGAACCTTTTGGTCTGTTTATTTAAGTGGACGCCAAACACTATAGATTGCCGTGGAAGTATGAATGAGTATAGAATGCAATTTTAGATGGATTTCGAATCAGATTTGGTCAAGATCAAGATGGATAAATGTCATTTAGAGTTTAAATGAAGTTAACTGCGCAGAGACCTATGGTTTAAACAGCTTCTCAATGTATTATGAGTTATGATAGTAATTTGGTATTGAAACAAATGTGCTGATTACAACCGTTCGGTTTACTTGCTTAATGTATTCTTTCTGAATTCCAGTGGAAATGTGGCAAATAGATAGTCTTTCCTGGCCTTAGTGTGCCTTCTGTTATCTTTTTACTCATTCTGCTTGTTGATGTTGTCAATTTACTGCCACATGCATGGTGGTATAAGGTGGTCTTCATTTCACTCCAACTTTGGGACAATTCATGGTGAGGCTGTTGGGGTGACCTGGGTCTTGTTATTATGTGGTAGTTGAGATATAAACAAGTGTACTGCAGCATACAGCATTATGCAGTGCATTATTGAATTGTAGCTGATACTGTGAAAGTCCAATTTCGATTCAGAGTATACAGTACATCCTGACCTCTTGCCTAAATCACATTACTGGTTACAGGCGACTGATAGCAGTAAACATAGCTGCCACTACTGTGCTACTACTAATAGACAAAAACACCTTACAGTGACACAGTATTAGATTCTGGTGTTGTGCTGTTTTTGGTAGTTTCAGGGTTGTTGTGGATAATTTACAGTACTCTTTATATAAGGCAAAAAAAGAGTTTGTACAATTCTAAGGAATTTGAAAGTCAGTATTTCGACCAATTTTATTAACTCTCTTAGGCTTTTTTGTAATTTCTTTAAGTACAGGTAGTCTTCAGGAATAGTTTTTAAAGGAAACTCAGAACTCTTTGGATGTCGGCTGCCCTTTGTTCTGCACTGGCAGTGTGTTTGAGAGCATTGCCATGCTGAAAAACAAAGCTGCTGCTAATCAGAAGCTTTAAATATGCTTTATGGTGGATATTGAAATCTGATGGTTCTTTTCGGTATTCATAATTCCATCCCAAACACCACTGGTGGACATGTAGCCAAACCAAACCACGACAGAACCAATGTGTTTTACAGGTGGCACTCACTCTTGTACCTCTCCAGGATATATTGATTTTGATTTGAACCAATTTTTAAAAAAATTTAGATTCATCACAGCACAGGACTGTAATGAATGAAGCAGCCAATGTCCAAAGAAAACCTTTAAAGGATCATTAAGAAGCCTGGAAAGCTGTTTCTCCAGACCACTTTAAAAATGAAAGAAAGTTTGACTCCATGGAATCAAATTGTAAAGAGTTTAGGGTTTACTCTGTACTTTTGTATTGTACTATCTATGTAAAACTCTGATTTCCAATTTTATTGACAATTTTGTTACCATGTTTTCATTTTTTTATTTTTTTATTTGTTTGATGTTTTTTAGTCTGTAACCCATTAAAGTTGTTTGTTAGCCACTTTTTTAAAACCAATATAAGAAATTCCATATCTTCACATGTCTTTTGAAACATTGTAGGTATGCGACAGGGATGCTTAACATACTTTTACAACCTGTAAGCCAAGAGCAGCAGGCTTGACGATTCTCCAAATCCACAGTTTCATCTAATCAAGGATTAAACTTAATTGTGGATTAGAGTTTTGTTCCTACTGTGGTTATATTAATAAATGTAACAATGGAAAAATGTCAAAAGAAAAGAATATTTTGCAATGGCAATTGTTTTGATTTTATTGCAGTGGCACCAATCTGTGTTCTCAAGACATTTTCCATGGTGGAACAGGTGCTTTATTTCTGCTTGTTTTCAATTTACAGGAGGTCCTGCTTCTGTACCTGTTGGTTGGCTGCCATTTATTCCGGGGGGAAAAAGCTTTTTTAAAATTACCCTTTTTTAAGCAATTTTTAAATCAGATTGACTGATGATTCTATATGTCCGTTGTTGTTTTTTTTATGTCCCAGTGGCCATTTAAAGGTAATTTAGATGAAAACTTTTGGCAACTTGCTTATTCACTTCCTGACCCAACCCTTTTAGGGATTTGTGTCTCCATCCAGTCTCGAACCAGGATTCCTTTGTGTATTATAATAACTTCCAAGTAAATACCTAAAACTTGCTTTTAGAAGAACTTGAATCATTAGTTCCAGTAGCAGCTCAAGATTCCTGGCATATTATGTAAACAGATCTGCTCAAAGTCTTTCTTTTTTTAAAAAAAAAAAAGGTTTAATGTACAAATTAAATTTCTTTGAATATATATTGAGTTTTTTAAGAGCTTTTTCTATTATCTCATAATGACATTCATTGATTTCTTTTCTCCTGTTTTATAATTATGAGACGTTTGTGAGGTGCTTTGTTTTACAGTATAGTTACAATATTCTGGCAAGAATCTCAATCATGTATTTTTTGGTGCTTTTACACTAAAACCAACAGACTGCCAAAATGACATCTTTTTACAACGCATCAGTGTCCTGTCTGTCTGGCCACTTTTTTTGCCACCACGAAATTGCCGGACCCAAAATTGGAACTACTGTAACTATGGAGAAGGATCACATCTGTCACATTTTCTCCCCACACACAATGACCACAACTTCTGCTATAGAACTCTAATGTACGGGTTTCATACTTTTTGAAGTGTAGACTTATTCTCCAAAGGCACTGAAGCAGGACTGGCTCTTCACCAGCACCGCTCGCACCAGATAGAAAACATCAAAATGCTGAAAAAATAAAGGGATGCTCTGTTGCTATGAATGAATCCTTTCATATCTAATCTCCTTTGATTCATTGTCAATGTAAAAATACTGAACTTTAAATAAAAGTTAATTAAAAAACGAATAACTACATGTAAATGGCCATTGCACAGGTGCTGGTAATTATTATTCTGCAATCACTAAACCTATCCCACATTTTGTCCTCTTTTATTAAAATTTTAATTCAATATTTTTTTCTCACAAATCAGCTGACAGGTTTCCAATTTGTTCGGTGAAACACAATAGTCATCCTCATCTTGTGTAAATGAAGTCTTCTGGGTCCCCAAAGAAACCTCAAGACAATACTTGCAATCTCATTCATTTTATCACTCCCTCTTCTATTGATATTGGTGTTCCATATTCAGCGTTTTATTACTTATCGCCATGCAGTTATTCATATCAGCCCTTGTGAGCTGATCAAGAAGCAGAGTTTTTCTTGCAGCGAGGCTTCTCTACTTTGTTGTTTTATCTGGCGCACACGTATGAAAAAGGCCTGAGGGAGGAAGACAATGCTGTCTGCTTTAACTCATCTCGCTGCCTGACACTGAGGTATCAGGCACCAGCAGGGGAGAGAGAATATTTTATCTGACATTGTCACTCTCTGTAGAAACCTCCGGGAGGCTGAGGCTGCTGTGACACACTTGGTGGTCAGCAGCACTGCATATGATTATGACAGTTCCTGCTACCCTCGCAGAAACCATAGGTCTGTGGTGTTATTGTAAAATGAAATCTTCATAATAACAGCGTGGGCTCAGTCACTTCTAGTGCTCTGGATAAAGTTTTAAGCAGCAACAGTGTGTAGCCGTAAAACATATTTTAAAAAAATCTCTTTGTTTTCTTCAGGCGATTGCTACTCTGGTGGACTTTGGAGTAAAGCATCACATAAAGTCGTTCTTAAAAGTCCCAAACTGATTTGGATTAAATACAGAGAAAGAGGAGACATGAGATCGTCATTGTTTCACGTGAGTCTCATTTTTGTGGCCATTCATATGATCCACTGCCAAATCCTTTGCAACAGGCAACCTTCAACCGAATGGCACCTTAAAAAAAACACAATCCAAATGAATTGGACTCTAATAGGGAACATCTGCAGGAGTGTTTTTGAGTGTTGGGATTCCCAGCAGGGAGACGAGTCAAGTGAGCAGCCTTTCAACTTCCCACAGATATGCCCACTTCAGCTACAACATGGAGACAAACTGTTGATGTCTGCTGATGAAACACTCAAGTCATATGGCATCAAACTCCTAAATGTGTCAAAAGAGAACTTTGAAAGCTGTTCTGCAACAGGACAGAGAGAAGATCAGTTTCTCTTCCCTCACAACATAAATGAAAGAGAGCAAGTCGATGCCAGGTGGCTCATGCCGGGTCACCGTTATTTTATTGCGCTGCACGAAGGAGACACGCAGCTGTGCACGCTAGGTTTGAGGCTGAACGTCACAGTTAAAACCCAACTTTGTCGGAGCTCCCCGATGCTTCGACTTTGTTCGGGGAACGGTGTCTGTCAAACAGGAGTCGGAGAGAGTGCATTCCACTGTCGATGTCACCACAAGTATTCCGGGAGGTTTTGTGAAAAGTTTGATGCTTGTTTGGATAACCCCTGTGAAAACAAAGGAGTCTGTTTGAGCAATGGATCGACAGATCCACACTTCAGAACATATAAGTGTCTGTGTCCTCCACATTTTACAGGTGAGCACAAATGTCACTGATCCCATTTAATGAGTTCTCGTAATTGTTTGAATAAGGGCTTGGTCAGAGCATCTAAAAATAGTCCTATACATCACTTGTGGCTGTAACATGTTGCATTTGCTACAAAATCAAAGTTTGTAGAAGAAGTGTTTCTGAGAGACGTACTCATGTGCTGAAAGAACGTAAAAGCAGCTTCTCAATTATGGATTTATTGAACACACCAAGTTAATGTTTTTCACCATAACCCTCCGACACACTCATGTAATGCAAACAGAATACATTTTTACATTGCTTGCATTCCAGATGACTTCCTTTTTTAAGCTCCTTGCTGAATTATCTACAGTAATGACTTTTTTTCTTTAACAAAATTAAAATCAAAGGCATTAGACCTCCGTGCATGCAAGCAAACTTAATTCTGCTCATCTACTGTTTTTTTTCTGTGCGTGGTCCTCTGTGAATAATCATCTAATGGGCTGTTTGTTTTAGGGGTTAACTGCTCTGAAATCATTGGGAAAGCAAACTGTGACAGCATCTGTGAAAATGGGACATGCCTTCAAATATCACCTGCATCCTTCAAATGCATCTGTGACAATGGTTTCTCTGGTAAGCATCTCTTATTTTAGAAGGCTGTTTATATAACGTAGATGGACTGTCTGGCTCAGTAACAATGAAGAGCTGCTCTTTAAACAGCATGTCACAATTTTAATCACTACCAAGCAAATCACACAGTTTACTGCAATTCTGTATACAAAGCACTATGGAAAGGGTTTTTCCCTCACCTCCCACAACCATGTAATTTCCCTCAAACAGGAGGGCTATCTTCAAATCATCATAAATCATAAAAAGATCAGCATTTCCTTGTGGGCTATAAACTTGATCCCACTCGATGTTATATTTGTCATCATAATATATGAAGGGGTCACTTCAAATCAAATACCTCATATTACAACCAGTGATGTGCCGCTCTAAAGGGCCTGGGCTATACTGCTAGCTAACGGAGCGTGCCGGAGTTAATAAAATAAAGGTTTACGGCAATCAGGTAAAATGTAATTTATAGTGTATTGTTTCTGCTAAGAGCGTAAAGATAAAAATGAATGTTATTCAGTGCTCGTTATTTGAAGAATAAGTCCCATTTATGATAGTATTTATAATTACAATTTACAGGTGGCACACATCAGGCTTCCAAGTTCAGGATAAAACGAACGCGTCACTTTTTTCGGTCACAACAGAAACAACACGTGATGTAAAGTTGATACACATTAATATACATCTGAGAACTGGATATAGTTATGTGGAAATCCATCACTTTTCTTCTGCTCTGCTCATATTCACAGAGACAAATTGCATGGTTATATTATATTTAGGCTTAGGGTTAAAGTAGCTGATCCCCGTCTCTAAGAATCACTTACAAAAGCAAATCAAAGAGCATTGTGACACATTTTTCACTCCCAGCCAAGACCATCCACTTCAGAGACAGTGCTGGACGCTCATGTATAGGCGCTGAGTGGGACTTTTGCTGTGGCGAAGATGTATGGCACATTAGTGATTCGCTCATTATTTAGTCTCATCCGCTGTATTTTTGTATAGTCGGGTCAATCGTTATCACACACAAATGGTTACAAGACCTAGATGCTCTTCGGGCTGCCCTCGATATCACTCTCTGCTGTAAAAATCAAGCCTGCAATGAACTTTCTGGAGTAAAATCTCCAAGTGGCTTTTCACATTGATTCATTGTTTTGTTTGGAGCACAATTTGTCCTGGCAGCATTCTTGAAGTGTCACAGCTTCGCCTTTCGAGTCCAGCCCATGCTTTCAGCTTATTATTTTAGAGATGTTGTTTCAAGGTTACTTCCAGTACTGTCTGGCATATTCTTTTTTCTTTATAACAAGAGATTATTAAGGCCATACAAAAGAAGGAGAAAAAAAAAAGTCATTTTAAAAGGTATTCTCGGATGTTTTGTGAAATGGCTCTGAAGATTTAAAAGAGAAAAAGATTACTGTAGCAAGATTACAGGATAATTTTCAAAATCTTCGAAAGAGGAAATTATCACTTTGCCTTCATCCCCTTGTTGGTAGTGAATGCCAGATACCTGCTGAATTGAATACTGAATATTTTCGATCAGGTAGAGGACATTATACTTATGTTAGTTCCTTAATGCAACACCGGTGGACTAGACTGTATGTTAAATTTGGTTCACATGAACTTTATCATATTTTCCTTTTATTCAAGTCTGAATTGCTCTTTGAAATGTAACTTTTTTCTCTAACTACAGCATTAGGAGTGAAACTAGTGGAAAAAAAGAGTCAAATGATTTTTTTGCTCTTGTTTTGTTTTGTTTCATGTAAAAGAAGCATTTTGCAAGCCTTTTAACCCAAGCTGTCAGTGATGACAGTATAATGATTACCAGCTACTTACATTTGTTAAAACCAAATAGTTGGCCCTATTAAAGAAAACATCTGCCCTTGTTTGAAGTCAAATAGATAATTCCTATAATTTCCATCAGAAACAAATTGTGGACTTACATGCTCTGACTGCTTTTGTAGCTTCTTGTAATTTGCTTTAATTGCTGCTGCTCCCTCAAATAAGCAGACTCCACTGGGTGCTTTCGCACAGTCATGGTGTCTTGGTGTCCCATCAGCTTCTTGGGAGTTCTGTAGAGCTCGTGCTTCCTTTACCTCCCTGCTGCAGTTGGCTCATTAATCAAGTGGAAGTTAGTGGCTGCTCCAGTGCTGGCTGCCCTCACAGGCCAAAGTCTATGCGCAGAGAATAATGAGCCAAACTCATGGGATGTTTCAAATGAGATTTTCTTTTGATTTGACTGTCTTCTACTCTACCTCTAGGGCATTTGTTGTTAAGTATTACCATCTTTATAAGACCATTTTCATTTGGAATATGGTGTTAATTGTTTCTAAAATCTTGTTGGTAATAAAGCCAAGTTTTGTAAGTTTAATTTGGTGTATATATGCAGTCATTAGCCTTGTTAAACTGTTTTAATTAGGCATTGACATGCTGGTGTTTTATGCATATTAGATGGATGCAATTCAAAGTCACTGCAGAAACAATGGTGTTTTAGATGAGAGCACAAATGTAAATGACTGTAATAAATATATAAACCATCGTCGGTGTTAACTAACATTGTTAGCATTTTACAGAGGGAATTATCATTATTATGCTTCATTAATACATGAGAGATGGAAATTCTACAGGAAAGCAGTTTGCAGAGGTGCAGCTTTGAGTGGACCAGTTTTGAAAACTCAATTTCTGATGTAAAATGAACTGAAGCAAAAAGCAAACTCTGAAGTTGGGTACAGTAAGATTGATGCCCACAGAGGAGGCTAGGAGGAGCCTCTGGGACATGAGCACTTGTATCAGCAGGGGGATTAAAGAAAATATGCAAAAAAAAGAAGTCACTAGAAAGATAAATGTGTAGGTGTCATGTGAGAAAGAAGAAAAAAAAAAAACCTCACAAGGGAATAACATCAAAATTTATTCACCTTGACCTTGCAGTGATTTCAGTCTAATTTTATCCTTTGTGCACAATATCACTGCAGCATTACTTTGTCCCTGGTTAAGTTCACAGTTGTGAAATTAAACTGCTGGCTAGAGCTTAGGTCAAAGTTACTTTATCTAAGAAAATGCTTACAATATGCTGAAAGCTGTGGCGCTCACTACTTAGTAAAATGCATGTTTATCAGTTAAAAATCTGTGTTAACTTTAATTTGGTGTATATCAAATGATGTATAAATTAAAAAAAAAAACACTGTGTTGTGCGCATAAAAAATTTAATAATACAGCAGAATTTAATAAATAAACTTGTATACTTTTTAAAAAATAAAAAATAAAATGAGAACAGTGAAATATGAGAATAAAAATAAAATAGTATTTGAGCTGTAGTATAAAACTGTTCCAGGACATTTACCATGCGTTAATAAAAATCGATACAGCAGTTTACTGTGAGATTTTGTGTGACAATATTATATTGATACAAGGGCACTAAATATAGATATTTAATTAAATAAGTTAAAATACTCTGAAAATACTGCGAACTACAGGGTTCATCTCATGCACCACCATCCTGAGGTAACGTTAGCTGAGCAAACTTAGATTAAATCACAGCAACCAAAAACAAACGAACACAAAAAAATCATCCAACACACTGGGACGCCTGATAGGAAGGAACCTGTCTACAAACAGTCGCAGTCTGACTTTGACTGACTGCAATCGCTGACTGAAGTTTTGTAAATAATTGCCATCTAATTTATAAATGTAGGCATATTCCTAACATGTTGCCATCAGTCTGAATTGATCTTTGGCTGCCAGCTGGTTGTATTCTGGTTATAATTCAATAAAACAGGAAGGTTGCTGAGCACAAATGTAATAGTAAAATATGATTTTTTTTTTTAAATGTGAACTTCTGCCTATATAGATAGCAACAGATATGTAATTTTAAGCAGTATATTACAGGTAAATGCTGTATTTTTAAAAAAATATTACATTTAACTGTGAACATCACCCCATTCCATCTAATGGTACCATTTATGTCAGGTTTGCAGCAACAACATAAGAAAAAGTAATAATAAGTTCCATAGTCTTATCTTATTGAATAACACAGATATTGTCATAGTTTAACTTTGAGGGTATAAATTGCAGGTGAAAAAAGGTGATAAATCACAATATGTGTTATTGCAATAATCGGCATATCACAAAATGTTGAAAAAACTGCAATAAACAAAGAAAATAAAAATAATAAAAATGAATAATAATAAATAAAACAACAATAATAATAAAATTACAAACCTATGTGGCATAACCCACATACACAAACATGGAGAAACTGTCAGGAATAATCACAGACCAGATATTTTCCTCACATTTTTTATTCTCATAAAAACCAGACTGCTTTTAATTAGCTCGGGTTTATCCCACATTTAATTATATTACTAGTGAGGCTTTTTACAGTGTTATCAAACAACTATTTTTCCTGTTTACGGTCGTGATGTAAATGCTGTGTGTGCTGTGTGGCCTGATTTAATGGGATAGCAGCGGCGCTGTATGGCACAAGCACAAATTTAAATACACACACACAGCAGGAAGCATATTACCCTGAGACTGAGGCAGTTCTCCATCATGCGGGCTAAACAGGAAAAAAAACAAGAGGAGGCGATGCAATCCACTCCATCTTTATAGCTTTCAGGAAAAAAAATTGATTTTTAGGTGAAGAGTTCCCAATAATTTGTGTTTGGCGCTGCGGGTTTGGTTTCCCTGAGGTGAATATGATATAAAATGATTATTTCACTCTGTACAGACACAAGACTGCTGTAAACTACAAGTAGAGTTAAATAACTCAAGTGACAGCTGTTATTATACTGCTAGTTTGTGATTTTTCATATCTGAATAACTTGAGAGTTTTACTTTTGACTCATTGTTTTGACTTTGGTGGGAACATCATCCTACCAATTTAGGATAGTAAATCAACAGGATAACAAGACGCGGTGACTCTGTGTACAGTCGGTCTTGCATCAAGTTTATTTGTGGGAGCATCTTTTTACAGTGTGTGAATGTGTGTGTGAATTGGTGGATGACTGAATGTAGTGTAAAGCGCTTTGGGGTCCTTAGGGACTAAGTAAAGCGCTATACAAATGCAGGCCATTTACCATTTATTTACCATTTTTAATGTTATGCATGCATAGTGCCAGGAAATGGCCCTACACATGCCACTACCCTGTGTAAATGATTAAACCTGTCAGTCACCCCTTCATTCTTGGATTCTAAATCACGTCTGCATTTCATTTCTGGTGTGAAAATTCTTTGAAGTCATTCCATGCTTGTTAATTTCCATGTTTAATATTTGAGATTCAAGAGTATACAGAATAGTTAAATTCATGCTATGCTATGCTAAGAACGCCAGTAGACGCAGTATAGTTTCTAAATAAAAGTGCAGTAATCTATTTTGCTGGTTTTGCAGGCCCACCGTGTGAGAAGAGGAAAGCCTCCTGTGACCCAAATCCATGTAGAAATGGTGGTACATGTGAAGAGAGTCCCACAGGATTTGTTTGCCATTGTCCGGAACGATTTGCGGGCCTCTACTGCGAATCTCGAGTTAACTTCGATTGCAAGTCGTACCCATGTCGGGAGGAACAAATGTGCACTGCAGGGGATCGCGTGAGGACTTTATTTCCCTTATTTGTTTTCCCTCAGTGGGACGTAAACAAGAAATGGCACATGAAAATTAATAGTGTCTTGAAGCGAGATCAAATGCCTTCATTCTAAAAGCTCCGGGAGCAATTAATATTTCCCGGTGAAGATGAGCTGTGGGAAAGGGTGTCTGCTTTCTCTAACATTTTGATTGAATGACCCAGTCCATATTTAAGTGCCAGCTTGAAATGGCTCTCATCAGAACCTTTTTGTAATTGGATGCCTGCTGCAATTTGCACCTTTCACGGGAAATGCTAGTGTACTCATACATTTTGCAGAGGTGGTAGTGTTTCTAATGCTCTAGAGGATACTCTGGGGAAAATACAGCAGTGGTCTAATTGTCTTTCTCTACGACCTTTGTTTTGTTCATTACAGTTTGCCAAGTGCACTACACATTTTCGAGACCCACCTAAGGATACCCGAGCAGAGAAGAGTAAAGAGGACATTTATCAACATAATGCACATTATTGCTGCTGCTTGACATATATATTTTTTCCTAGAAGCATAATCTGTTTAACTTTGAATTACAAGAACATTAACATTTGTTAGCCTCTCATATCTAAAAACCATATTAAAACAAATGTAAAACCTATTATTTATTTAGATTATATTTAATGAAAGTGTAGAAGTCTGTAGCAAATATAACTGTGACTCAATGAAGGCCCATTTTTATCACTACAGTGATTTGCTCTTTTATTGATAATGTTCCGTGTTCCTACACTTGGAAATCGAATGTACCTTTTGTGTAATTTAAGCGTCCTATCCCAGGCTTGCAGGTGATCTAGGTTGTATTGCTTCTCCCATGCAGGGCTCTGAATGTGTCTGTGCAGATGGTAGTGCGGCCACAGCGTGCAAGAGGCAGAACAGCCTGTGTAGTCCATCACCATGTTTGAACAATTCCACCTGTGTGTCCAGGGGAAATGATTACATCTGCAGGTAAGAGGGAGATCTAATAATAGGAACATCAGAGTCTCTTCTTGAAGATGATTCGCGTTTCTTATGAATGTGTCTCCCTCTGAGAATGAATAAAAATGTGATTTTTTTTTCCACCTTTTGATGTGAGGAGGATTTAAAGCGGTTTTAAAAGCTCCAGGAAGTCATTGTTGAGAGTTGAAACAGAGACTTAAATGTTTTTCCTATGAAAACGTTTCCATTTCATGCCATTCATTTCTGCCATCTTTCAAGATATCCAGATATTAAACTGTACCAGACCACAAAACAGATAAACTGGTTTAATTTGTTTATCAGATAACAACTCTCACACAAGAAATTTGACTAAATAAGAACCAAATATAATACAAATATAGGGAAGTGTATATTTGGCATATTATACAGTATAGTTAATTTGATTCACATTAGAGCTTGATTTGGTATGATACGCTAACATCGCTAAGCATTTCAGAAAATGGGTAAAAAATGCTAACCTGATTAGCGACACGCCCCTGTCTTTATCAGAATCAGATCATGCGGAAAACTGAATTAAAATCCCAGAAATCTCGTATAAAGAAACAACACAGCATTGCTTGTTAGTGCTTAAAGCTCAAGGTGAATTGATTTTGATGACACTGACCACCTCTCAACAGATGTCTGAGTGGGTTTTCTGGGAAGAATTGTGAAGAAATAATTGACTACTGCAGTCTGCTCAATATCAGCTGCCTAAATGAGGGATTGTGCTTGAGTGTAATTGGCGGATATCAGGTAAGTAATTCAAGGTTTCAGTCATAATGAAATGCAATAAAGCCCACGAAATATGACTCATGACGCATACAGAGTCGACGCAGCGTGAACTCATTCATAAGTGTTGTTAGGATTCATAAAATAAATGTTCTGTTTCAGTAGTAAGATTTTTTAAAAATCTTTTTTGTGATAAAAACATGGGAGTGGTCCACTCTTCGTTATTGCATTTGATCATTTCCAGAGTAATATTGATCTAAATGGTGTATTGTAACCTTTTGCACTTTTCAGAAATTTGAGCATGTTGACCTTCCTGTGAATCTGTTTGGTGTGTGGCTTTTTTGTTAGCAAGTATTCATTTTTAGACTATAAAATCTGCTTTAATGATGCAACAGTTATGCACTGGATCGATTGTAATGATGAATGCTTCAGAATGGCAACTATTGCGTGATGTTCTTACAGTTGTCCCTGAATATAAAGTACATGCAGTACAAATACAGAGATAAGACCTGGTTTACACATGTTTAAATGTTTGGGGGGTTTTCTAATGTTGTCTATATGACAGTGAAATACAAAGAGAATTACAGAAACATCAGTGGTAGTTCTATGACTACAGAAAGCAGTAATCCAATTCTAAGTCATTAAATCCTGGTGTATATGTGGAAGCTTTGTTCAGACTGACAGGTCCGGGTCTAATTTGCCTCCCAGTTTCTCAGTCTTCTCAAATGTCTGCATTTTTTACAACACCTGAGAGTGCTCTGTAATGCCCCATAGCTCCTAATTATTCTCCATCAGTCTTGTTCCATTAGACCACTGATAGGGTTCTTTATCTACGATCTACTTTTACATGCTTTATGTTGGTGCACGTTTGGTCAGAGATAGTCAAAAATTGTTGCTAACTGCAAGTGCAAGTTTTTCTTTTAATGTTTTCTTATATTTTTGTGACTTTTAGGGTTTGAATGTGAATAAATATTTACTGTGGGTAGTAATAAAATGGTTAGTGTGTCGTGTAGAAGCTCCATATGCACAACTAGAGATAACATAAAAATCATTTTAATGCTAGATATAGAGAGTAGTGTTTGTGTTTTTTCTCTTTGTAACACCTCGTGTTTGTGACAAAGAAACATCTGAGGTGCACATTTAGAGTGAAACCCTGTTTTAGCTTATTTGGATCAGATTTTTCTT